AGAGCCCAGAGCCCAGAGCCCAGAGCCAGAGCCCAGAGCCAGAGCCCGAGCCCAGCTCCCGCTCCTTCTCCCATGCCCTCTCCTTCTAACTTCTGCTTAATGGTGGAGAGAAGCACCTTTGTCCCAGTCACCCAGGCTGGAAGCCTTGGGCTCCTTCTCTGCTTCTCACTCCGCCCCCAGAGTTGGTAAGTACTATTGTTTCTACCTCCACAACATCTCTCCAATCTGCCCCTTCCTCTCCTCTGACCCTGCCCCCACCCTGGTGCAGACCCTCATCCCCTCACCCCTGGACAATTACAGTAGCTGCTGGGGGCGGGGGTGGGGGGGAGAGGCTGCCTGCCTCAGTCTCCCCCCACTCCAGTCCATCCTCTATTCAGGGATTTTCCTAAAACCCGGGTCTGACATGTCAGCCCCTACTCCACAAACTCCAGGGGCTCCCTATCACCTTTAGAATCAAATACAAGATGCTCTGCTTGTTATTCGAAGCCTCCTATCTAGGCTCCCTCCCACCCCTCCCGGCTTCTTACAACCGATTCCCGACACGTATACCCTAATTCAGGAACACCAACCCCTCTTAATTCTAGTGCCTTCCCTCTGTTCATTATTTCCTATTTATCCTTGTTTGTATGTGGTTTACTGCATGTTGTCTGCCCCATTAGATTGTAAGCTCCTTGAGGCCAGGGACTGCTTTTTGCCTTTCTTTATATCCCATTGCTTAGTACAGTGCCAGGCACATAGTCCGGTGCTTAATAATGCTTGTTGACTTAATTCCATGAATGCCTCTGATCTCAGGGGAATCAGTAAAAGAGCTGCCCTCCTCTCCCCACCCCACCCAGCGCCTGATGGGTGTTGGGGGGAAAGATTCCTCCACTGGCAGATGCCGCACCACAGGCGGGCACTCACTTTCTGGGGCTCCTGATTCTTTCCCTTCGGAGGGTAAGGAGTCAGGAGATATTCAGTCCTGTTCCTTGTTCTGCACAAATCCTCCCACTGACTGAAGAAAGGTCATCATTTCGATCACTGAGTAAGGAGCAGCTAGGGGGCACTACAGTGCACAGAGTGCTGGCCTAGAGTCAAGAAGACCTGAGTTCAAATTCTGCCTCAGACACGTAATGCTGCATGATCCTGGACAAGTCACTTCACCTGTCTGCCTTAGTTTTCTCATCTGTAAAATGGGGATAATAATATAACCTACCTCCCAGGGTTGTTGTGAAGATCAAATAAGTTAACATATGTAAAGTGTTCTGCAAAACTAGCTGGAATTTCTAGCATAATAATAATTATTACGCTACAGAGGGCATCAAAATGGAAAACTCCAAAGAATAATTATTGGCAAGAGGGACCAGGGGAGAGAATGCATCCACATAGCCCATCCCAGCAGTAAGAGACCCAGGTCAGGGCTCGTGCCCTGCATCCTGAGGGTAGTGGGGTCAGAGGAACAGCTTGACTATGGTGAGATGTGGCCCCTCACTCCTTCTGGCCTTGTGGGAACTGAGGGCGTTGGCCCGGATGAGACAGCAGAAAGCCTGGCCAGGGCTGTCAGTCCTCAGGGCAGTCCAACCCAGGCCAGCCCACCAAGCCAACCGCACCCTCCCTTGGCAGAGACCTGGGCCTCCCTTTGAATGTTACTTTGTGAGAATTAAAAATAACTCTGGGTTTCCTCCCTCAAAGCTAAAAGGAAATGCATAAACTGCTCCAAAGGAGCCCTGCTCCCCACAGGCAGCAGGGGAGGGCCCACTTTCCCCCTTTCCTCCTTTCCAGGCCCCCAGGGGCAGCACAGCACAGCATCAGAGGCAGCCAGGAGTCAGGAAGTCCTGCTTCTGAAGTGGTAACCGTATGGGCTGGTCATGTTCCTTCACTTCCCTGGGACGTGGGCCAAACTCCGGAGGGGATGGCGGCACTGGTCATGGGAGTTTCCTCATCAGCAGCTCTTGCACCCCTAATACCAGAGACCAGGTAAACAACAATAACAGCTTACCACTGCACTGTCCTTCCCTTGTCCTGCAAGGGTGAGCTACCCAGAGCCAGCCACATGGGCAGCTGCATGACCCACCAGAGACTTCTGGGGCTAGGGAAAGCCTTTGCCTATAGTCTGTAGGAAAGGCAGCAACAGAACAGTGACAGAAAGCTCTGGAGGGGGAAAGAGGCCCCTGAGGTGCAGGACCAGCCTGGACGACATCAAGCCGTCAAGGCTGGCCAATGACAGCTTCCTCCTCTCCCCCTTTGGGCATGGGGGACCTTCTGTCTGGATCCCTCCCTGGCCCTAGGCCAGGGTCCGTTGATGGCTACTTTCTCTCCAGTCTGATTGTCACTCAGCCCCAGAACCAGGGGATGGGGATGTGCAGGCCTCAGAAATGGTTCTACTTCCAGCTAGCAGACAGCAGAGAAGACTGTTTCTGCCCAAGCACACAGTG